GGTGCTGGGGGATTGAACCGCGGTCCCTGATGCTTTGCCAAGCTAGTTCCAAGTAGGTGCTTTAGACCACTGAGCCGTCTCTCCAGCCCCTAAAATTAAATTTTAAAAAGTCAAAAATAATTTCCCAATGAACTTCACAAAAATCAATTTAAGACACTCTATTAAAATAAGTACAACTTATATGAGGTAAATTATAAAATTAAAAGGGTATCTTTCAACCCAGGACAATAGTACTTTATGGACCTGAAGTCCACTGTCGTGGATATTAAATTTATTGCCAAGATTATCATCTTAAAATAACCAAGAACAGCAGTATAAAGTATACAAGCTTTCCTTAAATAACCAAGTAAATTTCTAATTGCATTAGAAGGGAGAGGGGGCAGGGAGATGGCTCAGTAGAATAAGCGCTTGCTTGGCAAGCACAAGGGCCTGAGTTCAACTCCTGATTCTGCAAAAAAAAGAAAAAAAAAAAAAAAGGAGAGAAATTTATATAAATGAATTTGGATAGCTGATGATTATTTCTAAATGTTTTAAATGAACAAAATTGCCACACTGCTACATTCCAACAATCCCAGCACTGAGAAGGCTGAGGTGGGAGGACCCCACTAGTTACGAGCCAGCGAGCCAGCGTGGCTGCACAGTGAATTCAAAGCCAGACTGAACTCCACTGTGAGACTATGCTTCAAAAAAGAAGTGATAACAAATGTGTTACATCTATCCACATTTTGACTGAAAGAATTTTATCTAATTCAGTGGTTCCCAAAAATAAATTTCAATTTATTGTCTATGTAAGACAGTAAATGTCTGAGTTTGGTTTTGTTCTTACTGGATAACAGGGGAAAAAAAAAAAAAAAGGATTTTCCCTCTAATAATGAAATGGGAAAATAAAATTGAAAAAAAAAATAAGAGCTTGAGTTTCTTGCTATAAAGCTATGAAACTCATCATGCTTTTTCATAGAAAAAAATATCTGAGTAATTCAAGGCAAAAACTAAAAGGCTATGTAAAAATAAGCCAGAGAATTATAATGCAGTTTTAGTATCATACATATAAATGTATGTGTGTATCTATATATAGATATATCTATCTATCTACATAGATAGATAGATGTATCTATATCTATATATATAGATTTTTTTTTTTTTTTTTTTTTTGGTATTTTAGGGAAGGGTCTACAGGGTGTTCAGGGTCTCACTACTAGATCGGACTCAGTGATCCGACTGTTTACAGCCTCCCAAGTGCTGGGATCAAAGGCGCGCACACCACCATGCCCAGTCTCAATAGCCTTCTCAACACACCCTGGAGGTTAATACTGTATTTAAAAGATGACATCAAAATATTTTTTCTTTCCTACAATGATAACGTAACTCAATCCACCATTCTTCTTCCTTTGCTGCAGATAACTATTGAGCACTCTATTTGGTATAATATTTTATAGAGTTTCTAAGTATATGCAAAACTCTGAATTCTAATCCTATCTCAGGAAAATTTTTTCATATGAGTCTTATTTCTAGTCTGTAAAACTGTTAGACATTCTAATTTGCTCAGAATTACCCTATTTTCCAGTTTCATCGGTTAGTAAGACTTATAAATGGCAGATCACTGTGACCTGGATCTAGTAAGCATGAACGTACTACATTGGAAAATATCCGAAAATTTTAACATGTGAGAAGCCCTAAGTTCAATCTCTAGCACTAGAGGAAGAAGAACAGGAAAAGTAGGATGGGGAGTTGGAGAGGCAAAGAAAGAAAACTCCAGGAATCAAGGAACTAACCTAGCCACTAAGGTGGTCTTGCATTTTTGTCCAGTTGAGGCAAAACAAAGCTGAGCTATATGAAACAAAATAACTGACTACAAACCATCATGGCGGTGACCCATGTCACAGCATGCCCTACGTCATACGCGTTTGTTAGAAATCTTGGAACCAGCACTTGACTGCTTCCCACCGGGAGGTTTAGACTTCTCAAAATTCTTGTAAATATCTTTTGAAAGAAGAAAAGAAAAATTTACTTGTGTTAGATATTAGTACTTTTAACATATTTTCATTTTATCACAGGAGCTTTAAGCAAAATTCTAAATGGTAATTTGCTCAATCCTTTAAAAATTATATACAAAAATTATGTATTACTTGTATAATAATTACAACTTTTTTTTTCTTTTTGGCAGAACTGGGGATTGAACGACAATTCTTTCAAAATTATGTATTTCCTCAATTCTCGAAAAATTACATATATGGTCACAAGCACGTGACTATAAGGCAGTTGTATCTCAAAACAGACAAATGAGCGATCTGTAGTCAAACATAAAAAGGCAGGGGCCAGGGAGACAGAGCAGTAGAACACGCACTTGCCGGCAAGTGCAAGGGCCTGAGTTCCATCTCCAGTTCCGCAGAAGAAACAAAGCATAAAAAGGCAAAATGCAGATAGCTTAGTCAGACCTAATGTTTTTTGACCCTGTTCAACTTTCTAAACCTACACAAATAGTTTTCTGTGTCTTTATTCCACACCAAGGACACAAAATAGGCAAAAAACAGCTATCTATATTTTTGCCCCAAGACCCTAATGTTGATGTTATTTTCCCCTACGTACTATACATCCACATTAGTCAGTACCTCTAAAGTAATTACATCCATACCCTCTACTTGCCACTCCTGGGAGGCACCAAGATATTAAGAAGTGGCCTCTCCTTAATTACTTCCTAGCAGCCAACAGCCGGGGAGCTCAGCACCAGAGGTGCACGGCGGCCCCAGCCCTGCCCCCATGTCAGGGTACAGATGCGCACCCTAAGCCTTGGGGAAGTTCTACGAGAAACCACACTGCAGGGAGAGTAACACTGAAGACAGCCCAGTGGTAGTACTCTGGAAAAACACATACTGTGATGTACACAATATGGACATTCAGAAAACCTGGCTGACAGGTGAGCGTACGCCGCCCTTAATGATGCGCCTAGCTCTATCGACACATACAGTTTACACTTCCCACCCTGCAAGGATGAGGAAAGATCACTTATAATTCCTTGTGGGCCCAGTTACCGTTCAAAAATAACTAATCTCTATAAATTAACATATACAAGCTTTCACTATTAATCAAAGTCTTCATGGCACCGGGCATTCTTTGTTTCTTAAACCATTACTTGGGGCCAGGGAGATGGCTCAGTGGAAAAACACTTCCCTGGCAAGCGCAAGAGCCTGAATTCAATCTCTGGTTCCGCAAAAAACAAACAACAGCAACAAAAAAACCACTACTTATTTGTTTATGTGTTTATTTGGCACAGGGTCTTGCTACGCAGTTTGGACTCATAGTGATCCTCCTGTCACAGCCTCCCCCACCTTGGATTACAGGGGTGAGCTACCATGCCTGGTTCCGGTGGTGGGCACAGTGTACCCGGGATTCTGGGGCCAGCACGGCATAAGGAACCAGGGATCATACCCTAGTCCTTGTGCTTGCCAGGCAGGCGCTGGGACTGCCGAGCTATGTTCCCAGCCCCGCTGCACCTGGCATCAGAATACTGAAACACACTGTGACAGGGCTGACGCTGCCATCAGGCTGCCATGCATCCCCCCGTGCAAATGCTGCAGTTACCTTCGGTACATATGGGTCCCAATCTATGTACCCTATGGTATCCGTAGCCAGTCGCGCAAACAGATTCACCAGTTGCTGAAAGTTAAAAGAAAAAAGTTAATAGGTGTATCTGGTTTTCTGTTTGTGTGTTTTGAGACAGGCTTTCACTACGTACTTCTGGCTTTAACTCATTGGGACCCTCCTGCCCCAGCCTCCCTGGGATTACAGATGGGCACCACTGTATACCATGACACATACGTTGGTCTTTTTCAACATCATGGTCATGTCCCTCATTTACTTGTTCTTTTCAGTAATCATTAGCACAACTTAATGTACACATATGTCTCTTTGTGGGGGGGGGGGATAGAGGACAGATAAGATATAATTTACAGCTTAGAGGTTTAAGAATCTCCAAACTTAATTCTGATTCATGTTAAAAATTTTAAATTAACTGCCCCTGAAATGCTGTTGAAAGTGAAGGTGACAGACATGCACCATACAGAACACAGGAGAGAAATTTAATGGAATAAACAGGCACAGAACGTCTGCCACGTGTCTTGCACCACACAGCGTGGGCACCAAACAAAACTGCTACGTTTCACAATACATATCTGAATTCAGACCCTGATAAAACCAAAACACTACTGTAAGAGAACAGTAAATAAAATGAAAAAGAATTGACTGCAGCATTATCATCAGCAACCTTAAGTAGCTGCAATCATCAAATGACCTATTTCTCTCCAAGCTAGAAAGTGTCTCAAGAACAAAGCGGCATACTCACCCCCTCCCACTGTGGGAGATTCTGCACTGAAACCCAAAGGCCAATTAATTCATCAAACCAAAGTCTGAAGAAGAAAAATGCTGTTACGAATAGCAAGTGACTATAGAAACTGGTTCAAAGCTAGGTATCCTCTGTACTTTTTAAATCTAGTCTTACTGATAACTACACAACCTAGAAAAAACAATACTGACAGTTACAAACTTAGTGGAACAAAGTATTTTTGTATGAATATTCCAATTTATTTATGCTATAAAATGTAATCCAATAGACTGCACTGTTCAATTATTACCGTCCGCACCAATCTATCTCCTGTTCAATCTATCTCCTGCTTCCTGCCCCTTCCCCTGCCCTCTTCTTTGATCCTCATACTGCCCCTTCCTTGCCTGCCTGAAGGCCCCACTTTACTCAGCTGTTTTTAAAAGCTGGAAACAAAACAAAACAAAGTTCTCAGCTCGCTATACAAGCACTGTTCTCTCTGTTTACAAAGTTATGTTCAACTTCACACACTTCAAGTGAATAAACATTATAAGGTAGCAACTTTTAAAAAACTTCTTGCTTTACCAGTTGTCCTATCTGTATTCCCTGCCACATTCTAGTATCTACTTACTTAAAACCTTTATGATGAAGTTCTGGAGGAAGAGAGGTAGGAAGGAATATTTCAAAGTAAGTGATGGCCTTTTGCATTGTTACATCAAAAGGGCACATTAAAGGCCGCCATTCTTCCAACATTTCTGCAGTTGCGTCTGCTGGAAAGTATCTAATAAGAAAGAAAAGCTTTACATGCATCCGATTAATGGGTGAAGGCTCTGAGACCCCAACACGAGGCTGACAGCAAGGGCACGGAGCCCCGAGCTGCACTTGCAAGGCTCGCCTTGCATGCGCGAGACCTTGGTTTGTTCAAATCGGTGCACAAGGTGGGGGGTTCCTAAGATATGCCACACTACAGAGCATCAGCTGTGTCTGCATAAACACTCCCTTTCACAGAAGTAAATAGACCAGATACGCCAGCAATGCCTGCAACGCCAGCACCCAGCTGGTGGGCCAGGAGAATCCCAAGCTCAGGCGGCTGGGATTAGTTAGCAAGGCCCTGCCTCTAAAAACTGAACAAAAACCCTGTTCTACTTGGGATAAAGTCAGTTCTCTTGTCTAAGAGACTTCAAAATACGCTATAAGGCTGATAAACTAAGACAAAAAAATAAAGTCACTTAAATGATCTACAAAGTTGAATATACTGGTGCTTCTCCCTCAATGGTGCTATGCAGTGGAAACCAAAAAAACCAAACCAAAACAAAAACCTAAAAACCCAGCCAGCAGGCACAGTGGTGTGTACTTGCAGTCCCAGGAGACTGAGGCAGAGGGACTTTGCAACTCCAAGGCTAGCCAAACAAGACTCTGGTCACTAAACTGTAAGGACTGGGATGTCACCAGGGCTGACCACCTGCCAGGCCCGTGCAAGGTCCTGGGTTCCACCTCCAGCCCACAAAGGAAGACTCCACCCTCCATAAGAAACGGCACAGCAAGCAGCTGAGCACAGCACAGGCCTGGGTCGCAGGTGAGCCTGCCTGCCCCGGCCCGCAGCCCTACACCAGGCAGGACTGCCCAAGGACCTGGTCTTGCAGGACCCAGAGCTCCGAGACCCGGGACACAGCCAAGAGTGCCCCAGGGTGAGGAGCAAGCTACAGAACCCACAGAATGAGGCAAACGGCTGAAGATATACATATTCTTACTTAATATGCTTAAAATAAGGAACAACATCTGAGAAAGAGACCTCTCTAAAAATCTGGGAAGGCCAGCCAGATAGCTCAGCGGACTAAAATGCCTGCTTAGGCAGAACACAGCAACCGGGGTTTGATCCCAGGCCTGGCATGGGATGGTGTGGAATGCCATGCGGGCCCTGCCCCCGGGGCTTGCTGAGACAGTGATTGAGACTGGGCGTGGTGGCGCAGCCTATAATCCCAGCGCTCGGGAGGCTGAACACAGGAGAATCACTACAGAGTCCGATCTGTGTAATGAGTTCCTATAGACCTTGTACTAAAAATAAACAAATTTTAAAAAGCTGGGAAAGCTTTCCAAATCCAATTCAGGTTTGGCCATTATGAACTTTATTAATCTTATTTTATTTTATTTTTTTAAAATTTTATTTGTGTGTGTGTGTGGCCAGCTCAGCCCACCAGGGGGCAGGGCTGACTGGCATGTGGTGCTGGGGGATTGAACTGCAGTCCCTGTGCTTTGCTAAGCTTGTTCTAAGTAGGTGCTTTAGACCACTGAGCCATCTCACCAGCCCTATTAATCTTATTTTAAAGAGTTGTGTTAGTGGGGCATGGTGACGCATACCTGTAATACCAGCAGTCAGGAGGCAGAGGCAGGAGGACAGTGAGTTCAAGACCAGCCTGGGCTACAAAGTGAGCTCAAGGCCAGCCTGAACTACACAGTGAGACCATCTCAAAAAGACCAAAAAAAAAAAAAAAAAAAAAAACAGAAGACCTGTGTTAATTTAAATCACAGGGCTGGAGAGAGAGCTCAGCAGCACAAGTACCTGCCTGGCAAGTGCAAAGTCCCAGTTCAATCCTCAGTACCACAAAAAAAAAAAAAGAAAAAAGAAAAAAAAAAAGAAAAACAAAACAAAACAAAACAAAAAACAAAAAAACCACAATTCACCTTGTTCTTTTATGTGAAAAATAGAATTACATTTCTGGTAATATTTGTGTTAAGCCAGTTCTTTGTGTAGAAATTTTATTAATCTTTTATTTATTTGGTAGAGGGCCTCGCTATTCAGCTCAGACCCGTATTCATCCTGTCTCAGCCTCCCCAGCACTGAGATTACAGGCATATGGTTCCAGGGATCGAACTTGGGTCCTTGTGCTTACCAGGCAGGTGCTTAAACCACTGAGATGTACCTCAGCCCCTGTGTGGAAATTTTTTTAAAAAGAAATAGGATAAAAAGAATTAAGACATTATGTACAGGTACAGATTTCCTATATGAATTGATCATTATGTATGAAAGGTATGTACTAATAAAAAGTAAAAAAGTTCAGAAGCTGGGCATTGTAGCACATGCCTATAATCTCAGCACTTGGGAGGCTAAGGCAGGAGGATCACCTCAAATTCAAGGCCTGCCTAGGCTACAGAATGAGACTCTTGTCAATAATAAGTGTGTGTGTGTGTGTGTGTGTGTGTGTGTGTGTGTGTGAGAGAGAGAGAGAGACACGAGTCTCTGCAGCTTAAACATCTGCCCAGCGAGTGCAAGGTCCTGAGTTTGATTCCTGGTACTAAAAAAGAAATAAGCAAAAACCAGTACGTTTTTTTTTTTTATTTCCTCAAGGATCTCACACATTAAAATTCCCCTTCCTAATTTTCTCAAGTCAACCGTTAGCCTACTAACCCAAAATAAAAGCTTAGGGGTTCTGTGAGTCCCTGATAATCCCAGAAAGCACCCTGTGATTCTTGGGCCAAGAGCTACAGCCGCCGGGGACAAGGTGATCCGGGCTGTGCAGATGCTAGGGAGCACCTCAGGCCTGAGGACACGTCTGCCCGAGACGACCGGCAGGGCAGCTTGGCCAAGTCTCTGATTTAGGAACACATACATTACAAATTACGATGACAAGGGCTTTCCGACCAGAAGGACGTGCTGCACCACAGACTACTGTAGTCTTAGACTAGCCTCTAGCAGGAACAAGGAAGCAGCAGTTCAGGTATCTACAATTAAACTTTCATTCAATTCTGTTATACTGGAGATTCAATGCAAGGTGCTTGCACTGAACTACCACCCCAGCTTTCTTATTTTGAGACAGGGTCTCATGAAGTCACCCAGGCTGAGCTCCAATTTGCAATCCTCCTGCCTCACTCACCATGCCAATACGCTGGGATTACAGGCATGCGCCACTATGCCTGACTCATTCATTTTTAATTAAAAAGTACTGACTACAGAGAGTTAAGTATTCTAATTAAAGAGAACACAGCAGAAAAAATAGACCATCTTCCCATCATTCGTCACATTTCAATTCAATCTACAATGCACTTTTGCGCTCAATAACCAGTATTGTCCAAGAAAACCTTTCAAATGAAAATGTTTATATGTAAATTATAATGTTCTTACTTTATGATGAGTGGCTTAAAATTTTCAAAATTCATTAAGCATTACATGAAAACCTGGTTCAAGAGCTAGGAATGAAATGTCAGTGGCTAACATCACAACATTGGAAAATGTTTTTCTTTAATTTCCTTTTGAAGGAGTAAAAGAAAAGGGCCACAGAACAACAAGAGATGGATAAAACGAGAAACTACTTACGGTCGGCAGCTTTTCACGAGTGTTTTGAGAACATTTTCTACAGAACTGGAGGGGGGAAAGGCCATTTGATAAATTAGTCTGTGGTATTTTAAGAGCACATCTAATTCTATTAATGCCTCTAGCATACGTTGGTACATTCAGATATTAGCTGTTTGCATACAGTCACTGATCACTCTTTCATGCAGATGGCACTGCAAGGCTTAACGTGTACAATCCTAACACTCTCCTCCTTAATCTACTTCTCCTCCATCCTCACTGTGCTCATTAGCTAATATGAACAAAAAGGAAGAAAACATTACCCGGGAAAAGGAGGACAAACCACTTCCATCTTTACAAAGCAGGCAGCAATGACTACAAAGTCAATTGCAAGCAAACAAAACAAAGGGGCACTAAGTGACTCTGAGCTACAATTTTTAAATAGATCATGACTGCTTACTGTACAAGTCCTCAAATTTCAAAAATGTGGAGAATGTTGATGTTTAGGCAGAATTTCAATCCTGAAACTTTCTCATGAAGCTTCTTGAAATTCTGAAGTCCAGAGGTCTATTCCACTTCTCTGAAAGTTTAAAAACTAAACTATAGGGCCAGGGAGATAGCTCAGTAGAATAAGTGCTTGCCTGGCAAACGCATGGTCTTGAGTTCAATTCCTGGTACCGCAAAAAAAACCGAAAAAACAAACAAAAACACTACACTATAAAAAGTTTCAAAGACTAACTTAAGAAAATCCAGCACAAGTTATATATATATATATCAAGAAAAAAGAACTGTAATTTCATTGTTTGGGATTAGAAGGAATCATCTTCAATCTCAAGCTTTCAGAGAAAAATTGACTAGAAAAGACTACAGGCAGTAATTTATTAGATGGTTTCCAAATTTAAAACAAGAAGGTCACATGGTCAGAGCCAACTGGAAGCACTTCTGTTCCTCTGAGACAGTCTCACTATGTAGCCCTGCGCCCTGAGATCCTCCTGCTTCTGCCTCTCCAGTGCTGAGGTTAGAGCCACACCACGCGGCCAGCAATGAAGCCATTCTTTTCTGATCAGAGAAAAGATTTTCTTTCTCTTAAAAACAAAACTAAGCAAATTCAGAAACAGTTTAAAGAACACCTAAGTTTGCCCAGAAAAAAACAGGAGACTGCAGCTTTATCTAAAGCAGCTTTATCTGAAGATCCCGGCTGCTGTCACTCCAAGTACTCTCACAGGGCTCGTCACCGCACCCTGCGTCACCCACTCACACGCACTCACCCTTACCTACCACACTCAATGCACATTTCTAGCAAGAAAACAACGCAGACATCGCTCACTAGCTTTGGATCTTGTGGACTGCACGCAGGACTGAGCTACATTCCTACGCCTTTCTGTATATTTTATTTTGAGACAATGTCTTGCTAAGTGGCTTGGGATCCTCCTGCCTCCGCCTTCCAGAGTACAGAAATGCCAGGCATGCACCAGTGCACCTGATTATGGCTCTATATTCAGTTGGGCTTGAAGAACCACTTAGTAACAAATTATAGAATTAACAGACAAGTTTTAAAGAGCCACCTAGTTTTAAACTTTTTTTTAAACCTTTTTCTAATTCTATTTCCTACAGTATCTCCCAATTTTTGTTCACGTTAACTTTAGTTTCGCTAATTCTATGGTAACTAGAGAGGTAGAGCCACACAACAACCTGCTGTTCTTCTAACTGTCCCACACCAACCAACTTCCAGTCACTATCGGTTCTAGGAAGCAAGCTAGAAAAGGGCACACGACTCTACACTTGCTCCAGTTCCCTCCAGTCTTCCTCAGACACAGAAGTTAGCGGTAACACTTGACAGTGTCATTTCCCTCACGACAAGGATTGGAGTATGTAGACATGTGACCAGTTCCTATAAAAAGCAATTTCAACCCCTTCTCTTATTTAAGGCCTGTACCACTGCATTTATGTTCTTGATCCAGGAAAGGGTACAATCTCTCTAACCTGTGATATCTGTGTAGTGACCTTTTGTGATTCTTGTGATCTCTCAAGATGAAAGGAACAATGTTTCTGTTTAAAAATAAAATAAAAGGTTAAGGCTAGACTCTACCAGTCTATTTCACTAATTTCTTTTTTTGTTGTGTTTTTTGAGACAGGGTTTCACTCTGTAGTCAAGGCTGGTCTTGAGCTAGTGGTGATTCTCCTGCCTCTGCCTCTGGAGTGCTGGGCTTACAGGTGTGCACCACCACACCCAGCTTACAATTCTAATTGTTAAGAGAGAATGAATAACCAATATATACCTTCCAATCATTATAAATTTGTAACTCTGAAGTGGTAAGAGGCTGGGTAAGGTGGCACACATCTGTAATCCCAGCACTTGAGAGGCTGACAGAGGAGGATCACAGTGAGTTTTGAGGCCAGGCTTGGCTACCACAGTGCATTCAAGGCCAGTCTAAACTACACAGTAAGGGCCAGGGAGATGGCTCAATGGAATAAGCGCTTCCCTGGCAAGCACAAGGGCCTGAGTTCAATCCCCGGTTCCGCAAAAAATAAAATTAAATAAACTACCCAGTAAGACCCTGTCTCAAAATAAATGATAAGTACTCAAAACCCTTAAGTCACAAGTGACTAAGTTTGGATGGATTTCTGCAAACCCCGTTTCCTCTTTGAAATGGCACAGTAAGTTGAAAAAGAGAGCAACAGCAGAGCACACAGTGGTTTCCTCTGCACCCAGCGGATCCGAATTTGAAGGCCAATCTCGCTTACTTCCTAGCAACGCAATGTTGTAACTCAGTTGTTTGTTATCAGTATGAGCAGTAATACCTACCTTTTCTAAAATTGTTACGAAAATATGATAATACATAGAAAGTCCTTAAATGGCCCAGAATTAAGCACAATACATGGTAGCAATTACTACTTAGTATTCAGGCAAAGTAAATGGTACTTTCAATTTATAGAATTAAAATTTTTGTGTTCCTTTTGCTTTTGTGCAGATTCTACTGCATGAGTAGCGTCTTAGGAAATCACACCAGAATAGCAAGGTCTCTAACTCACTTTACCTAAGTGAGTTTTCCCAGTTCTAAGCTCGTGCTCCAGTCTGAAACAATGACTCCTCGACTTGTCCTTTCCACACCTCCACTTCCTGAGCACACTCCTTCTGCTGACACTAACAGAGAAAATGCCACTATGCAGCAGACCAACCTGAGCAAAGGCAGCTCAGCCAAGCCTCCAGACCCCGCCTACCCCACCCCCACCCGGCTCTGGGGGCTCTGTGCAGGCAACAAGATGAGGCCCTGGCTGCTAAGCCACTTGAGTGTTCAGTAAACGCTGTCAAGCTGAGGACAGTCTGAGCTGAGAATGTTTGGACTGCTCGCAGCCACAACACTTGTACGCTCACTTGAACTACCATTTGATTTTAGAGCAATTAATCAGAATTGTTTTGTAAATGGCTTTGGACCTGTAACAATGCAATGATCTACCTGCCTTACTTAATCTACTCATAACTGAATGGTGACTCTTCATGTAGCATTCTTTGTTCTTTAAGCATGTGTCAAATACTTCATGTAGAAGTCTTTTCTAAATCTAAAATCCACTATCAAACAAAAAAATTTCCATCTCCTACTAGCATTTCTCAAGATCTAATATTGTTCAGTTAAATGAGCAAGTGATTACCTTTCAACACCACTGCACTAAAAATTATGGTCATAATTTCTCCAAAAAGATATTGTTGGAAGTGGTGGCACATGCCTACTAACTGCAAGGCAGAGGCAGGAGGGATGAGGCCTGCCAAATCTGGGCAGCTGGTATGCACCAAAACTTTAAAAAAAAAAAAGGGCTAGAAGTACAACTCAGTAATGCAGTATATCCCTGTACTCAACCCTAAGGACAAGCCAGGCATGATGGCACATGCCCATAATCCCAGCACTCTCTGGGAGGCTGAGGCAGGAGGATCTTGTGAGTTGGAGACCAACCTGGGCTACAAAGTGAGCTCAAAGCCAACCTGAACTGAATAGTAAGACCTTGTCTCAGAAAAGAAGGAAGGAAGGAAAAAGAAAGATCCCACGGACAGCACTCCACCCTACTCCTAGGCACAAATAAAGTACAAGCCGGGCATGGTGGCACACGCCTCTAATCCCAGCACTCAGGAGGCTGAAGCAAGGGATCACTGCAAGTTGGAGGCCAGCCTAGGCAGCACAGTGAGTTCGGGGACAGCCTCAACTGTGCAGTGAGACCCTGTCTCAAAAAACCCCAAAGTACAGCACTTTCATCATTGGTAGAGCATCAGCACTGGGTTTTCATTAAAATTGAAGCAAAAATAAACTGAATGTTGTGGTACATGCCTGTATTCGCAGCACACGAGGCGACAGATGCAAGAGGATCACAAGTCCGAGCCCCATGCAGGTTACTATAATGAAGCACTATCTCAAAATTTAAAAAAGGCTGGGGGCGTAGCGTAGTGCACAGACCTGGATTCAATCCTCAGGACAGCAAAAAATAAAAACAAAAAAGCCCTATATGGCAAATGTTAAGAAAGTTTAAAAATCCTTACTATCTGTAAAAATACAATGTGTAGCTGGTTTAAATAATGGTAATTTTGGCCAGGCATGGTGGTGCACCCCTGTAATCCCAGTAGTAGGGAGGTGGACAGGGCCACTGTGAGTATGCAGGCAGCCTGGGCTACAGAGCGAGGCCTGCCTGGAAAAACCAAGAAAAATATATAAATAAGCAAGGAGAGAGAGAGAGAGAGAGAGAGAGAGAGAGAGAGAGAGAGAGAGAGAGAGAGATTGTATCGATCTCAACTAAGTCTTTTTAATTGCTTTAAAAGTCATTTTTAAAAAGATCCTAGCACAAAAACTATGGCAGAAACACTCAAAATCATCATAACTCAGCTTACTACTTCTTTTTTATTGAGACAGAGTCTCACTATGCAGTTCAGGATAGCTCTGAACTCACCACGCCGTCCAAATCAGCCTTGAACTCCCGATCCTCCCGCCTCGGCCTCCCCACTGCTGGGATTGCAGTGTGCACCACCACACCTGGCTTTCATTATTTATTTCTAAGTAAAACTATTTTAAGAGCAGACAGAAGGT